TCGCTATTATTTTGAAACTTTTCAAGTATTTGTCTAGGGATTTGTGGTCCGATTTCATTTGACATTTTTATTTGATTATTTGAATATTATTATTATTGATTTTGTTTACAAAAAGATTGTATCCAACCAAGGTTTCTATGGAATTAATTATAATTGCCATGGTGCCGCGAAAATCTTGACTAAAATTGTTCAACTCCCAGTTAAATTCAGGTCCCCGGAATAAGATGGATGCGATATTAATATAAAATTCAAAATTAAAGATTTATATTTGCTAAATGTCCATTTGATCAAATGGCGGCCGCTTTGTTTAAAAAAGGGTCGGGGATAAAGATTCTGAAACAGTTGGTAATTAATTAATTGAAAAATTGACCGCTCATCGTAATAAACTCAAAAAGAAATAAAAAAAGAATTAGATCATGAAGAAAGAGAATCGAAAAATTACAATCGATGAGTTTACACATTGAATTTGATAAATCTGTAAGTTCATAAATTTAATTATTATTTTTAAATTGTATCTTTTTATTTATTAATCTGTCAAAACCGAATCACCTGATTAAAAAGGAAAATCGATAAATTCATCTTGTTGAAATTTTAATCCAAAACGTTCAAATGAAACAATCAAATGATGATGCAAGTTTTTAATATTAGAAGAATAAGAGAAACTTATATTATTTTAATGATATTAATATTTTATATAATGGTTTACATAAGAAAAATCAACAATTAGGAGGAGGAAGGTGACATTGAGTTGCAGAACTTGCTAAACAATTTGCAGAAATAAAAGATTATAATGAAAGGTATAAAAAAACATACAGAAATTGTTACATATGAAATAACTGATCAAATTTTTGGCTGAAGCATTCCAAGCTCAATTAAAAGGAAATGCTTGATATGCTAGACAATATACACGTCAAGGATGATTATTACAATATTGTCAAGGTTTAGGCAAAGATGGTATTAGACTTTTCTTTGGAAGGTATATTTTAATAAAAAAATATTTTTGATGTATATAATTATTTTTATGTAAAATAAATAGACAAAATCCTCAAAAACGTGAGTTTTATGAATGATGTTAATGAAACATACAACCATATAAATGAACGTTATAAAATTATATAATCAGAGGAACTACAACAATTCACTCGTCAAACGGAACAAATCCAAATTGGACCAAATTCTTGATGAAAATGAACAAGTATAAATTTTTCACAGCATTGCCAAAAGATCTTCAAGAAGTACTTAAAACAGGAGACATACCCTAGATGAATAAAGTTTTAGGAGAAACGTCAGTCGAAGAGGCAAAAAATTTCTTGGTGATGCTGATGTTTGTTAATTGAATAAGGAATTATTGATGGTACTAAAGATGCCCACTGCTGATAACAGAAATGGTATGATGGTAAATAAGAATAATTGAAATAACAATATGAAAAAAAATTATTGGGATGAAATGAGAAATAGATTGATTACTGATTTTAATTTAGGGTTTTCTAAAAATGAGTGTATTTGTATTATAATTCTTAATAAAAATTACTTTGTATGTTCACTATCAAATTTTTCAAAATTTGATCGATGTTACACTTGATTTGGAAGCAGAAATTATTTA